ACAAATACAGTGAGCTTAGAGAGGCCAGGGCAGAGGCAGGCGGGCCCTCAGGCAGAGTTACCCTGCCCCAGAGCTGCACGCCACCTCCCAGGCACCACCATTGCCAGGCAGCTGCTCTCAGCCCCTGGGCTCTGCAGAGGGAAATGGCCACAGGGCTGGAGAGCTGCCCCACGGCTCTGCTGGAGCTCTGGCTGCAGAGGAGCTGGTTCCCGCCTTAGAGCCCCCAGCCCTGAGGGCAGAGGCTTTGCTGGCTGGGAGAGGAGGCCAGAGGAAGGTGTCTGCATTGGAGGGGATTGCAAGGAGCTATATGAATTTTTCCATCCCACAACATTTCTAGGTTTTGTTTCCTCCCATAGCCTGATGAAATCTGTGCTGCCTGGAGATTCTGACCCTGGGAAGTGTTTCCTTGTCCCATTTCTTTTCCCTGTCAGTGCTCACAGAGACCATCCCAAGCTCTGTGCACTCCCCCTGGCCCTAGAGAAACCTGCCTGTTTGCAGGGCACTGCCTGGGCACATGTTCCTGTTTGCAAGTGGAAAAGAACAGGTCAGAAAATCCCAGATGGGTCCAGCAGAGGTGATGCTGCTTCTGTCCATAGGAAGAGGGGTTGCTAAATCCACTTTACCAAGTCACATTCCTTACTCACAGTTGCAGTTCAGGAGTCTCAGTGACTTTTTGCAACTCAACGCTCAAGAGAGCTCCTTTTCCATTTATACTTTTCTCTCCCTCTCCCTGGAATGGTAAACTGGACAGACAGACTCAAGAAAGTTCCTCATCTTTATAGTAAACCATGCCTTGATATTCTCCTTCAGACATCCCCTTGGAAATATTCTGGGGGTGATGTGAAGCTCTGAGCAGCCCTGACCCAGGCAGTACCCTCTCAACAGCAGAAGGACGCTGCCTTGCTGGGGGTTTCTCCTTCCACCCACAGCTTCTCCCCGCAGTATTGTGGTCAAATTCCCAGACAGGCTGAGTGCTGACCTTGGCAGGCACAGATTCTCTGTCCTAGCAGACAGAACCAGGGACGTTTCTGGGAAGGATGGCCCTGGGCACTCACCCATGCACATTCACGTTTATACCCTTGCAGCCATTAGGAGAAGGCAGCTGTCACACCCTGTCCCTCAGATGGTGCAGTGGAATGTCCCTGACCTGCAGCACGTACTCCCCCTCTACACTAGAGAAACTGTGAGAGTTGTACTCACAGATACCATCAGCTGTGGGAAGTGCCACCTTTAGGAGCTCCCTCCAGGAACTGAACTGCATTGCCCTGCAGCCAGAGACTTACCACATAAAGGGACATGAAGATTTCTCCAACAGCGAGCTCTCAGCATCCTCCCACCCCGCACTGCCTTTAACCTCTCTCTGCGTCACGCCTCTCCCCTTGGTACCTGCAGGTAGTGCCCTCAGCCCTGCTGCACTTTGCAGAGGAGCTGCTCCTGGGCAGAGCTGTCTCTCTGCAGCACTGCCCACTTGCCATGAGCTCCCTCCATCCCAGGAGCCCAGCCCAGCTCAGCAGCAGAGGACCAGCCCAAGGCAGCACTTGCTCTGCCCCCTCGGGGCTCCCTCCAGGTGTCCCTTGGTCTCCAGGGGAAGCTGCTGTGAAACAGGCTGAAGTCATCCCTGATGCTCCCTCACACAGCTGGGGAGAGACACTTCTTTCCTGCAGGGTCATTTCTCCTGTCCAAGACAGAATTGGGCATAAGAATCGCCTTTCCTTATCCCATCATTAGACAGGACACCCAGAGAGTGACAGTGAGCGATCTCCTTTACCCCTGTTGAGGGAAGGGATGCGGATGAGTCAATGAAGGCATCTCATTTTTACTTTTTTAGTCCTGGGGCTAGAAGAGGACTCATCTCCCTTCTGTGCACAACACAAACAAACAGGATGTGAGATTCCTCTTCCATCAGTTGTCCAGGTGTGCACAGAATAGGCACCTGCCTGTGAGCACCTTGTCTCAGCTCCCATGCCAATGGGACAGGGCAGGACTGGGCTGTTCAGACACAGCACGTGGTGACATTTCAGGTGTCAGGGTTGGTTGAAGAAATGTGCAGGCAATTTCAGGCTCTAATGGAGCAGTTCATAGAGACAGGCCAACATCGGGGGAATCGTCTTAGAGGCTGCTGGGAATATTCTTTGGCCAACTGAAATGGCAGCTGACGCCCAAATTAGGGCAAGCGAGCCTGTCCCCACTCATGATGTTCAGGGCAGCCTTTAGTTATTCATCTGAACAACTGGAGTCATGTGCCACAGGCAGAGCTCAGGCTCACTCTTCCTCTTCTCCATCCGCTGTATTTCGCTCTCTGCGGGTGGGAGGTTCAGCTCCAATATCTAGCTCTTGGAGTCAAACACTGATCTTGGTTTTCCCCCCATGCAGGTTTGTCCATGGAAATCAGCATCCCAGGTTTGCTCAAATCTGTGGGGCCGTGGGCAATGCAGCCTGTGGGGTTGAACAATAAGCTGGTTTTCCCTTTATCAGATCCTGTCATTAGAGAGGTTGGCTATCACCTCAAGGTGTCCTTCCAAGCCTTGAGCTGCCCTCCATGATGAAAACATTTCCCATAGCATCTTTATGTTATCTGAGATCTCTATGGAAAAGTGCGGAGATGCTACCACAGATAAAATGCTGTTGGGTTTATGAAA